TACAAGTATAAGACTTGTCATTCAATCACTATAAGCAATCTCCCATAATAGATTGGTATGGCCACCTAATCATATCTCAAACACGCACAGATATAGAAAGAGGATAGTATAAGATTACTTGTCAATAGCGGAGAGAACGTCACTCTTGTCAATCTTTCCACCAAGCCCAGTTGCCAAATCCAATGCCTCTGCTTTCGACATCTCAACTCTCTCACAGCCCAGAAATCTAAAAAATACAAAAACAAGGTACATACATATATCAAGCATTGTCTTGAAATATTAGATTGAAAGTCAAATATCCTTGTGATTCTTCCCTATTCTAGAGACATCGCAGCTGTACCTTAGGTTTGGAATATAGCTTGATTAGCTTAATTGTAGAAACGGTAGTTTGATTATAGGNGGTTTGGAATATAGCTTGATTAGCTTAATTGTAGATACGGTAGTTTGATTATAGGTACTATACTATTAACCTATCTATATATATGTACATGCATAGATTCAATGAAGAATAGAACAGAAAAAAATATTATTTCTCAAACTTTGTTTTTCAAGTCATTTTTATCAAGAAACCAAAGCAAACTTGAAGTTATTAAGCCCCTGTTTGACCCCATTATTTGGCATTTTTTATAGTTGAAAATTTTTGGAATAGTGATTGATGGGAGAATGTGTGGTGGAATAGTAATGAAAAGTTTTAGATTTATGTGTAATATTATTTTATTTGATGAATGTGTGGTTGTAATGAAGAGAGTGAAAAATTTAATGTAATGTAATTTAATTTAATGGGGGTCAAACAGGGGATAAAAATTATGGCTAAGGTATGTTCGGCATGGCTTAAAAGCCAACTAAAACTCAAAAAAGGGCTTCTTTTTAGCTTTCTTCCTCATTATCGAGCTGAAAAAAGATGCTTTCTGGCTTCTGTATTGGCTTTTAAGGCAGCAAAAAAATGCTCGAAACCGAAGCTTACTCACATCGAAAATGCAGGATCTGCAAAACATTGACAGAGGGGAAAAGCAAAAGCAAAAGCAAATGCTGGTATTTAGATGGTGATCTCTAACAAAGTACAATAACACGTCAACACCACCTAAAATTCAACGTTAACATTGATTTATTACAATTTTTAATTCATTTTGATAATAATTAATCAATCTGAGATGTTCTCGATTCATATTTTAGTTGTAGCCTAGATGAGCTTGGAGCACACACACAAATGGGTTGCTTCCCAAATCATGCAATGAAATACTCATACTCGGTAATGTAGACGTTGAAGAGCACGTAACAGTGATAGCTCCGATTCCATTTCTTATAAGGTAGACGATAGCGCCTGTAAGAATGCATGTGAAATAACTCTTAAAGGGAAAATTCAAATAACAATTAAAAATAATAATGGAGTTTTTCTATAGGTGATATTAGAGGCATTGACAATTATCTACTATGGTCAATTAGAAGAAGGTTATCCAATCTACACCTAACGTATAATACCCTATAGGCCTATACTGGACCGCCTACCACTATGAGGTCTTCTACATTCATGTTAGGCCGCCTACCGCTACAAGGCCCTCTACATTCGTAATCGAGTTAGGTTGAGTTGGGTCTCAAGCTATCAATTAAAACCCAAACCAACCCTATCCAATGAATTAAAAAAATCAATACCTAAAATGAAAATTCTAAATAGACACAATTATGGAGACAAAATAATGACTTAGTATGTATAAATGTTCTTTTTTTTTTTTTTTTTACATACGTTGACTAGCATCAATTAGTTATGTACAAATGCAAAATAATTTGATGATAAACTAAAAATTAAGGATGTGATAATGAAATAAATAAATAAAGGCTATAAAATGAAAATGCCACATAGTTT